AAATTCTTTCGAAACAAATACTTCTATATGAACACTGAATTATACAGAAGATACTTTTCTCTACTCAGTTTGTATTTCAAACATTTGTTGTGGAATGAGAATCAGATATCATTCACATGAGTTCTACTTTGAATGAATGGTAATAAATTGTACTCACATGGAACACTGTCATCCTCACTGGTATACACCGATATTTCTTTCGCCTTAAGACACTTGCCCTAAGGCTCTTAGTACCAAATTGGATAACATTATAGAAAATTCACACACTTCATTCATACATTAAAAAATCGTAATTCATATAGATTTTTGTCGAACAAAAAAGGAAGTATTTTCAATAGTCTTAAATGCATTCTCGAAGTGGATCGAAGTTATAACCATGACTTCAATAACAATGTCTTCTATGTCTTCTAAATTAAGATAATTTTTTTCACGATATGGTTTACACTTATTAGTGGCAATGGTACGCAACTAACTTCAGCGGAATTTAGGCATTTCACTCAAGTCAATGGCATTTAACATGGTATGACTACTCCGCTCTTTTTGGCAAACTGAAATGGCGCTGCTGAAAATAGCGTGAAATACTGTGCATTTGTCAACAGGAGAAACTGCTGCGAAGTTATTTTTCGGTAGATCTCTGAGAACAAGATTCGACTTACAAAATTCTCGAAGAAAAAATCGTTAGATTATGACCAGATCAAATGTGACTTGAACAAAGTTCAGGAGATGAATAGAAATATTACAAGGGGGGGACAAAAGTTATGTTTCTTGTTGGAAACATTGTTCTAGCTAAAGACCATCGTTATGTGAAAAACTTTTGGTGAACAGTGAAAATAACACGAATTATAGGTGAGAATGTATATATTGTCAAGCCGTTAGATTCAACTACTCTTTGGAAAACACACAGTCATCAGATTAAGACAGTAATTTTCCAAACAGATTACAATACGAATTGCTAGAGAGAAGTATTCATGGTTATTTGGAAGACATTTCTCGCATTTGGAGATGTCGGTAAACTCAATTTGACACTCGTACTTTCTGGTGATAACGAACGTAAATATTTACTACACGTTACCTGCAGGTATGTACTAGACAATTATTATTAGTTTGGCTACTTGCTTGTTGGCACATTTCATATTTGTCACTTGAAAAAATTCATTCTCCCTGTGTACACGAGCACTTGTTACGGCAAACGACAGTCTTGGGCTTTCGAAAATGGGGCAGATGTGACAATATGCTTTGGGTACCGGTACCTTTGGTTGAGGCACAGCACTGCTGGCCTCTTCGAAATAGTCGTGCATAGCGCAGCTGTGAGAGAGAAGTATTCGTGATTATTTGGGAGACATTTTTCGCATTTGGAGATGTCGGTTAACTCAATGTGACACTAGTGCTTTCTGGTGATAACGAACGTAGATATTTGCTACTCGTTACCTGCAGGTATGTAATATACAATTATTATCAGTTTGGCTGTTTGCTTGGTGGCTGGGTACTGCTAGGTATGCTTAGTTTATATCCTCTTTTCAGGGTTGTCTTTTATTGATGTATCTACACACTTTAAATGAAATAAATTGTAAAAACGTTTCTTACGGTGGCTTTTGTTGCTGACTACGTCTTAGCCGAACCTATTTGCTTCCCCCTGAGCCCCCTAGAGTCTATTTTGTTAAAATATAAATACCGAAAATCTTGATAACAGTATGATCAGATTAAACAAGACATCACCGCCATCACCAAGCACTTCATATATTCGTTCATATATGTCGATTAAGATATTGACTTTTTATATTGTACATATTTATGTAATTTATTACAATTTTGGGCCGTGGTGGTGTAATGTATCCGAGTTCCAATATGCGGCTGTTGCCTCCGGCGCTTCCATGATATCAGTAGTGTGCACATGTTTCTCAATCACGACCCGAAAAGTACAAAAAGGAGAGACTTCTTGCATGTATCTAAGATATAAATTTCGTAGCAATAGAACCGATACACCTAAGTTCATGGGGTATGTCGGCATCATCTTGAGATTCGAAAGTAGACAGGGTTCCAATAACCACGGCTACCATCTCAACAGAGTGATCTGGATGAAGTCTACGGAGTTCGAAGAGAAAATCTCGACATTTCATCCGATTCATTCGTCTCACTCGAATCTGAAAAACAGTGAAGATAGTCAAAAAAATCCCCATCAGGCTTATCAGCTAATATGGAAGTTGGGAATTCAATATCCTCCGGAGCATAGGGCAACGCCGGTGNCTTTTTTTTTGTATCAGATGGAGTAGTAGAAAGCCAAAAACTTTCTTTACCAAAAAATTAATCACTCCTAAAAATATAACCCCTTCAATTCAAAAGAGATATTTTATTCTCCACAAAGGAAACTCAGGCACTGATCAAACATGAACCTCAGCTGTTGACGATGGATGCGTGACCGTGCCGGCCAGGATGGGTTTCAAACCATATTGATTTTGGGCAGGTCTTATTCCACCCTAAAACCCGGGCACCCTCTTAGCAGGCATCTACTCAACCGGGTTACTCTAATGTACCCGTGAATGAACAATACGGGATAGAGTGGCAATCCACCTATGGGAAGAAGAGCAGTCAAAGTTCCACCCAAACATAAGGGTAAACCAGCGGCTCATGTCCTCCCCAAGGCTGGGATATCAGTTGCTTTTCAGGAGACGGCTAACGCATCGTCGTGAAATCCAGAGAAAAAAGTTGGACTTGGCTCTTCGAAAGCAGGGACGAAAATAGTCTCGTCAAAGGTATCCAAAAAACCATCAGGCAACTCAGAGACGGCAGGTGTCCTTACCTCATCATATAAGTCAACTCATTCCATCGATTCTGGAAGTTATAAGTTTGAGGCAACACTTCGTTTTCCATGTAAAGTAATAATAAAAATGATGATAATTGAAAATTTAATTTTTTAAACACACATCAACTTTAATATCATTCAACATCTTATAATAAATTGTCGCCCAACGTGGAGTTTGATTGAGCAGCTTGATTAAACTGCTTGATTAAACAGCTTGATTGAATAGTTTGTTTGAAAATATTGATTGAAGAGCTCAATTACTAAGTTTGAATAAAAAAATATGAATAACGTAAAATTAGAATAAATTTACTGAGAAATGGAAACAAGAAGGACTAAGAAGAATCAACAGTCTGAGCCTACAACGGAAGAAAGTGTAGAAGAAGTGCAGGAAATAGGAGACACCAGAACAGAAGAGCCAGCAAGACAAACACCGGTGGACATGAATGCATTGTTTGAAAGACTGGAAAGAATGAGGAAAGATGAAACAGAAAGCAGGAAAAGAGTAAGACAAGAAGAAATGGAAAGACTGGAAAGAGTAAGACAAGAAGAAATGGAAAGATTGGAAAGAGTAAGACAAAAAGATATGGAAAAATTGGAAAGAATGAGGAAAGAAGAAACAGAAAGCAGAAAAGAAGATATGGAAAGACTGGAAAGAGTAAGACAAGAAGATATGGAAAAATTGGAAAGAATGAGGAAAGATGAAACAGAAAGCAGAAAAAAAGATATGGAAAGACTGGAAAGAGTAAGACAAGGAGAAATTGAAAAATTGAAAAGAAGAAGGAATGAAGATATGAAGAAGTTACTTGGAAAAATTGATGAACAGACAAATAATGTTAAGAAGTTAGAAAAAGAAATTGAAATAAACCATAATAATTTGAAACAATAATGAGCAGAATATAAAAGGACTATTGAAGAAGAGGTAGAAAACATTTCACAGGAAGTGGAAGATCATAGAAAAAAAGTGAAGAACAGATTGATCATGTAGACGAAGGATTGGTGTAGGAAGTGAATACAAGGAGAGGAAAGAATGAGAACTTAAATAATAAAAATAGATAGGGGAAATAAATCAAATAGAGAAAAGTTTAAAGAACACGAAAATGATATAAATGAAAAAGGTATCGATATCGACAATAACATAAAACAAACGGAGAGAAATCTAATAGATAGGGAAAAATCAATGAGACCAATTATAACAAAAGGTAACGAATATAAATTAATATTCACTGGAAACATTGAAAAACAACATCCAGTACTTTTCATAGAATTCATAAAAAGTAAATATGGAAATTTGTCATCTCCACAGGCAAATCTGCTACTTTGATACTTGGCTTCCTCTTCACGATCGAACTTGCATTCAACTTTTGTAAATCCATCTGCGAAAAATAAAAAATGAAAGCTTTATGTTTTGATTCACAATATATGCAAATACTATCTCAAACAAACCACGACATGTAGAACATTTGACTGGAATTATTCAACATATATATTCGAGACAAATTTTGGAAATCTAATGATTCAACAATTCTCGCCAACTTCCGATTGAAACACTTACTTTCAAATAGAATAGGTGCACTTGTCAATGGTATCACTTTCAACGGATGCAACTAACTCATTTCGCCATGTATTTGTAGTAAAATAAATAATAACATTTTAAAATGAAACAGAGAGCCTTTGTTTCCTCGCTTTGAGAACTGTGTATCTCCGGATGCAGATTCAGCATTGGCAGTGTCGCCTTGGGTATGAATATAAAAATTAGTGATGACATATTCTGAAATGAAACAAAAGAAAATCAAAGAGTCTTTGTTAGATGCCTATTCAGCGTTGACATTGATCCATGTCACCTTGGATATGAATAGCGCATTATGAATTCTGCATTCGTTTCCCTTTCATTTGATGTGCTGCACGTTGAGATACTATCATTAACGAAGTGTCCTTCTGACATATTGCGCCATCTTAGTTTCTTCTCTGTGGATGAATTTTGCATTTCTTCTCCTTTCATTTGACGTGATGTACGCGACAATTCGACAATTATTAACGAAGATGTGGCTTAGTACCCTTCTGACATGTTACGCCATCTTTGTTTTTTCTCTGTCGGTACACTCTGTATTCGTTTCCCTTCCAGTTGATGTGCTGCACGTTGAGATTCATTTATCATTTCTTATCCTTTTATTTGACGTGCTGTACGCGACGATCCGATCATTATTAGCGAATATACAACTTGGAGCCCTTCTGACAGTTGCGCTATTATTTTTGTAATAACTCATTAATTTCCACAAATCATCACACACGCCACCACCTCCCACGCTGACTACGTCACTTTCAAAGTTTTAATGTTTTATCACTAATGTTTTATCATTATTATTATTATTCGACCCTCAGTCTCCAGTTCAATTTCATCTAGCACAATCAATCGAGCGATATTTGATTTCTCCATTCTGATTGGCTGACCGACACTACTCTATAACAGAAGCTAGGTTGAGTGTTCCACAAGTTTCCGATCGAAGGTCCAAAAAGGTCCTGAATGAAGATCCATAAAAATATACATGGACTTTACCCATCTCCTGTTAAGTGATAAGTGATAAATGACTGTCATATCGAAACACGAAAAACGGTTACGACAATAACGATGAAACGATAACGAATAAACACACGCAAACGATCGAAAACGCACGCACAACGGTCGAAAACGCACGCAAACTATCGAAAACTCACGGAAAACGGTCGAAACGCACGCAAAACGGTCGCATGCAAAACGGTGGCACGCAAAACGGTCGAAACGTTTGTGAAACGGTCGAATACTTCGCTTTCCACATTTGTGAATGTTAACTCCACAATACGTAATTCTTCGACGCCTTTAGTGCCACCTCCTCCTTCTCCTGATGATGCTTACTTGGTTAACGAAGATACGAGACTTAGTGTCCTTCTGACATGTTGGAACGCTAGACTTCGGTTAAACCGGCATGTTTCTTTCTTCAATGATGTATTTTGAAAGGCATTGTATACACATTGATATCATATTTTAAACCGACATGTTTTTTTTTCTTGAATGATGTATCTTGACGCACCCTATACACTTCGACGTCATATTTGTTTTCAATGATGTATTTTGACACACTTCGAACACAATGAGAGATTGCACGCTGAAAACTTACAGCCTCGTGGAACTGTTATGTTTTTTTTTCTCAAATTATGTATGTGTTTTGACGCACCCTGTACACTTCGACGCCATGTTCGTTTTCAATGATATATTTTGAGATACCTTGTAACATTGAGGGATCGCACTTTGAAACGATACAGTATTATTAATCTAAAATTTTTTTTTAAATGATGTATTTTGACGCACCCTGTACACTTCGACGTCATATTTTTTTTAATGATGTATTTTGAGTCACCCCGTATACAATGAGGGATCGCAGGTTGAGTTGTCATTTCTTTTCTTAAATCTGATTCATTATTATAAAATATATCATTTCCGTGCTTCCAATTTTCATCAAGTCTTTCACGCTCAATTTTGAAACCGGCAACGCTACATTGCCCCATAAACAACGATTTATTGTACAACCAGCAACGTCAAACCTGCCATGCTGGCATTGGCAGCGTATAACCTCGATACCATCTCCGTCTCTCTTTGCCTCTATTACGTCACACGCGTCTCTCGCTCTTACACACACATACACATCTTTATATGAAATATTAATTATCTCCCAAATCTAAGTATATTTTCCTATCTTAAACACGATAATGACGATTACAACTTTCCTAACATTCTACGGAAATAAAAAAATGCGGTCAAGTATATAAAATGAGTCAATTTCGGTCCCGACAAAACTAACGCTGTGAATACCCAACATTCGCAGTAACTTTCAAAATCTTACGTTGGTGTAGAGGCTAAGGACAATGTCTACTACGCGGACGATCCAGGTTCGAATCTCATAACTTATTTTAATTAGGATCACGTGACAAGGGGGGCCGAGGGGTGAAGCAGAGTCGCAAGAGGGGCCGATAGGTGAGGCGTAGTACTAAGGGGGCCGAGTTCCATGCTTGAATCGCTACGATACTCGTTCCATCCTGCGTCGATGACGTCACACGTTTCTCTCTTCCACTCACTGAAGATTCTCTCTGAAATACCAGCGACGCACGACCTTGAAGTGAGGCGGAAGTCTCTTTGTTCATCTACTCACACACATAAACATCTTCACATGAAATATTAATTATTTCCCAAATATAAGTATATTTTCCTATCTTCAACATGATAATGACGATAACAACTTCCATAACATTCTACGGAAATAAAAAAAAGCAGTCAAGTATATAAAATGAGACAATTTCAGTCCCGACAAAACGAACGCTGTAAATACCCAACATTCGCAGTTACTTTCAATATCTTACATTGGTGTAGAGGCTAAGGAAAACGTCTACCACGCGGACAATCCAGGTTTGAATCTTTAAATGAAATCACGTGACTGAAACGTGACAAGGGGGCCGAGGGGTGAGGCGGAGTCGCAAGAGGGCCTGAGCGGTGATGTGAAGTACTAAGGGAGCCCAGGGTAAGGGGGCCCAGGGCAAGGGGGCCCACACTCTATGAATATATTCGATACTCATTCCATTCTGCGTCGATGACATTTCCCCCACTCCGGTTTGAGCCAGAAATCTCTTTGTTCATCTACTGTTGTGTATGCCAAGAAAACGATTGTCAAGTGAAGCCCTGTAGGCCCGTCGGCCCGGAAAAATTACCCCCGAAATTCTGCCCTCCAGTGTATCAAAAATTAGCGTTATTTGGAACATTTATTCCCACAAATTTAGTTATTGCTTCTCGAGTGTTAGAAAAAGTGGCTGCTTCCATTATTAGCCTGACTTTTTCAGAATTAGCGTTAAATTTAATGGTTGTGACAACCATATCGGTGGAATAGGTTTCTGCTGTATCTGTGGGTATTCCCTCGCTTATATAGGCCCTTTGTAGATTTCCTATAAAAATTTCAATTTCATTGGCATATTCGGAATTATTTTCGTTTGTTTGTTTCAAATTGAGAAGTTTAGAGGTAACTGATTTCGAGCCTCCTGTTTTTATACAGTTTTTGAGTTTGTGTATGATCTGAAGCAAAATCAAGTCATAGTAGGAGATTTGAGCCGGTTTTAACCCCCCCACTATGACGTCATTGAAGACGTAATGGTGTAATTAGGGTGACCTTGAACGACATGTCTGGTGCAGAAAGAATAAATTTTAAAAGGTGGGGGGGGGTATGGGGGTTGGATGGGTTGGAGGTTGGGAGTTGACCTTGGGTCAGATTATCCTTCATGTATACTGAGTACAAACTTTCTTGTACAAAGTACACATTGGAATTTGCACGGTAAAGATATCCTTCATTGACGAATAGATTGCATGCACGGTAAAATGGACGGTACAGGATTCATTATGTGCGTGTCTGTGTACAAACAAACGTCTGCATACTTCAAAGATACTTCAAGTAATGAATGTTCCATCGGTGTGAGCCCTCTAAGTAAGTAGTGGTGTGACGTCACAGCAGCAACTGTTGAACGGTAGGAGAGCGAGATGTGCACTCCACGGCGTGTGACTGAGTAATGAGTAGTCATCGGTGTGCCCTTACCCCCCTCGATGCGGCGATGGCTATGACGTAACGCATTGCTCAACCCTCGCTGTCGATGGTGACGCGCAGGTGGCGAGGACTGTGTTAGCGTCTGTCTTCTACGATGGCGCAACAACCACTGTCTGTTCGTATCGACTTCTGTTAAGGCGTCCAACTGAGGGGTGCGCTTGGCTGTGACGCCAGGCATCTATAGTGGATAACAACTAGCAATGTGAACCTTTTGAATTGTGGTTCGGTTTCATGGTGTGGGTGACTCGCGCTCTTCAACATGAAAGAAATG